TGTACAAGCGGCGTATATTTTGCAGTTAAAGACAATTCGTATTTGTAATTTGTAATATAAAGCATTTCTTAATAGTTTTGCTTATTTAATTCTTATAATTAAAAACTCATTTCTGTATATTTGTTCAATAAAAATGTTTTCATCAAAAATGGTCTCCTATTTCTCTTATTCTTGCTAGTAAAGGATGGCTTGATTTAATTTTTATCAATATTATGATACAGTAATCAAGTTATATGCTAGATTTCTGCATATTTTTTACAAGAGGCGTCTTCTATATATACATTTATATTTCTCTGAGAATATCTGGGTAACTTGATTGTCCGCAAATTACAATAGCCTTCCCCGCAATAAAACTAGTTATTGCTGATATATCTCTCTTATCATGAGTAAATCATAGTTCTGACATTTATGCTCTTAATGAGAATATAAGTCCTTTGCCACCCGCCAGATTAGCAGAGAGGTTTCGCAGTAAAAAGGTCGTATATAACAGAAATCCTCCTCTCTTTTCTGTTTCCTTCTTGTGATGGATACCGCTGAGCCACAAATAAGTACTTTTCTATAGTGAAGCTGCTGTATTTTGTCATATTAACGATATAATAAAGCACTGCTTTATAAAACTAGGGTGAGATGTTTAGTTTAGAAATGCAATAATTTGTGATGTCATTAGTGTTGCCGACTAAAATGCTTGTGTTGAAACAATACGTTTAGAAAAATGTAAAATTATCATAGACTGTAACTTTATCGTTCCCATTTTCCCTGTAGTAATTATACTTCATACAGCCGAATTACAAATTATTAAAAATTTTAAAGAAGTATATGGTATAAAATGCAAATATCTGACAATTTAACATATGTGGATTTCACATGATTTGTTAGGTACATAATGTTATTGATAAATCACCTGTTAAAAGTCAATATGTGGCTTAAATCAAGAGTTCCACTTTATATTTATGCACTAGGGAACAAAAATTATTCTCCACATTTTTTTAAAATTGGGCCTTGCTGCAGTTTTACATTAATTTCAGAAGATTTGCATTTCAATGTTTTTCCATCTTAGCAATATGTACTAGTGAGCAACGGATTCTAATAATTATTTTTGTTTCTTTTCTTTTAGCTTGAGCTTGCTGCTGTTTTACTTTAATACCAGAAAATTTCTTGTAACTCTTTCTTTTTGCTTATTTCTTAAATCAAAATTTCGAAAGAGCGGAGGGATTTACACCCATTCTTCAGATATCGAGAAGAAAATGGGCATATATTTTCGACACGTACAGCATGATTAATAAAATTTCTGAAATCTGATTAATCTTTCTCGAAGCATAAACGATTACCTTTTTTATGACACACTTTATGATACCTTTTTTTATGACTACGCATTTAGAGGCCTAAAATAGCCTTAAAATATCGCTTAATCCAATCTAAATTAGTAAGATCAAATAATAGCAGCAGGATGAAGTATTCATTAACATTACTTAATGGCTTAACATATATACTACCATTCTCTGTGTAAAGTTTCATTATGTTAATTAACCATTTATAATGATTTAGACCTTTACTCTCATTTCTTCTTTCCATTTCATCGCCAGAATGCAAATTACATCGCGTGTATTTAAGCCGAGGATATTAGATTGTAAGACAGAGCATGTTCTGCCTTTCGAGGCACATTACTAAGTTGCTGCTAACTCAGACAGAAATTGTAGTTTTTGCGTTTGCATCATAATTGCTTTTATTTGAATATCTACGCCTTTAAAATAGCGTTAAAGTGAATTGCGTAGTCTTCGACTACTAGCTTATTTTAAATTTGAACTTACTGTTATATAAGTTATCTCGCATAAGTGCTGGCTGAGTTCTAAGCACCAGGTATGCCTTCTGCTCTTCTTAGTTTTAACAAAAGGGTCTTTTACATCTTTTTCAAGTCTCAGTGTCTATTTTAGATTTAGGAATATTTCTCTCTTAGTCTAGCTAATGTTTGGTTACAATTTAGGATTGCAAAAAAGATTAAGCTTTATATCTATAAATCGAAATTTTATAAACTTCTTTATTATGCAGCAATATTGTGCCATAAAATACCTTGAGATAGCAACATCCGAATGATAAAATCATCAACCTGATCTGCATTTGTTACGATGCTTCCACTTTTATGAGAAGGAATGAAACTAACAAAGCGAGTCAGTTAAAAGAAAGAATTTAATACAGTTTTTGCCTTCATTCATTGAACCTGAGCATTTGAAGATTTTTCACATTGATCTTTATTCATAGATATTTGTCTGATAGCCGGATATCTGTTTTAAAAATACATTTAAATTTAGATCACATTTCTGAAATCTATCTTTAAATTTTATTACTGACCTAGTCAACAAGCACACGTTGAGTAAATTATCTTTCCCAAACGAGCCCCAGAAAAAGTTCAAAAGAATTTCTGGCTATTCCTATGGCTGTGTTTCATTCCTAGTTGAGCACAGTCTCATTCTTTTTATAGACAAAATTTTCCGTCTCCCTTCCAGCAAATGCTTTAAGTAAAAGTTCTTTATGACTTAATTGCAACTTCTTCCAATTACTCGCTAACATATTCATGGAAATTACACACCGGAGCCATATTAAGCATTTATATGCGAAATATTCCTGCTTCTTTCAGCACTTTTAACATTATGGTCAAATGTTTCTTCCTTTTAATGCCAGTTGAAAAATGTTTTGGGATTAAAACTTTTGCATTTGGAGTCTTGTTCTTCTCTCTTACTGCTATCAATAAGCGCTAATTTTTGCCCCACGTTTCATGCATTTGTTGAAATAATTGCTTCTGTATCCACTTAATGGCTTTCTCTATTTTCCGATTTCATTCTAAAACTTGATTTTAAAGATTTTCCTGTTTAGATTTGTGAAGACTGAATTATTTCATTATATAATAAAGATAAATTGCTATAGAATAAAAATCGTGTCATATGATAATAGCTAATTGCAACATTAAATTTAACATCACATTCATTTTTCTATGAAAATGGAAAACTTAAACTCAAATACAGCTGAACTTCGATATCTTAGTTGTTAATCATAAGAAAGGTGTTTAACAAATGATTTATCTTTAAGCTTTTCATGGAAAAACAGTCAATGTATTAAAATGTATTAAACATATGAGTCTCCCAAGTCTACTCTGAAATTCTCAGCAATTGTTAAGCACTCAGTTTTAACGTTGTAAATATGCATACACATACTACATTTCTGTTAAAGCATATTCTTAAGATTTTTAACACATAAAAGCGAAACTTCAGTTTGGTGACACTTATTTTTACATTAGTCAATTTGAAGCTTAAATGTCATTCTTGACATTCTCATTTATTGACATCAGATTTTTAGCTACACTGACCAAAACAATTTGAGAATATTGTGAGTTAAGTATAAAAAAACACTTATTCGACCTTTCTGTTAACAACAATGAAAGAAAAGAGATTAAAAAAGAAAAATTTGATGTTTGCGAACTTTAGAACTTATAAATTGCGTCTGTAACTTCGAAAATTAAGATTTTTTGATATGAAATGAAAAGTGATCTTAAGTTTTCGCTATGTATGATGAGATTAGAAACAATTGACATATATTTAATGCCTTACAGAAGTGAATACGACGTCACAACTATATGATTTTGCTGAATCCGTAATCTGCACAACCATCGATCTATTAGAAACTGTCAAATGCAACTCATTACAACGGAAACTTTGGAGTGTAAGAAAATGACATTTTTAGATCATGAAATTTGTTCTTAAAAATTAGAAACGCTAGGCGAATACCAGAAGAAAAACGTAAACATACAACAACACATAATGATGACCAATACTTTACAGCAACGGCCAGAAGAAATCACAGAACCGCAGTATAAACGCCACTTTTCTGCAACAGCACTTTTTGAGGGCTACTGACAGAATTTTTTTAACTCAAGTTGTCAGGTACTGAATCCATAGAGTTGACTTGAATGCTTCTAGACCTATAGTTTGAACTTCTTTAACAGCAGGCCATCCTGCTGCCCTTAGAAGGTGAGCATAAAGGCATCTCAGATGAGACGAAAAGAATGGAGGAAAATAGAGGGATTTATTTTCTCCGGTGAGTTCCATTTTAGTAGACAGCTCGACAAGAAACGGCTTATCAAACGGCTTTGGGTGGACTGTAGACCATGCTTCCCGGACATGAGCTCAAACGAAACTGTTTGAGACTTTACAGGATAAGGGATTATTGATCGTGTATCTTACCCATCAGTAGTTCAGATCTTCTGTAGGAATGGAAGAAAAATATCCAGGCCCTTCTTAATAACCCAACTGATTCATGCATGACACATGTGCAATAGTGTTTCCGTCAGGGACTACCATACACTTTATTGAAATTCTTTTTATCCAAGAATCACATTTTTGTTTCTGGTCCTGACATATAGAAAAAATGCATTTCTTGCTTTCTGACAATAAACGACAGTAAATTTAACCATTTGTTGTTGTGTAATTTTTTTCTTAACAGCTTACAGCATTATGCATCATATATTAGCTAAGAAACGTTTCTTTATCCGTAGTTTATAACCAATATCATAATATCTTAACTGATTTGAGCAGTGTATTTCTTATATTTTGGTGAAAAGAGGCTTTTAAAGGCTTAAATATAAGGCGAAAATAAAAGATGTTAATTTTAAACATTTTAGTTTTTGCCTAGAACGTAAGAATAAAAAAAAAATGAGAATTCTGTTACTGGTTTCCTTCTGTTTATTCTAATTAATATCTATTAAAAATTTTATACTTTAAAAAGCTCTACATTATTATTCTAATTTTCAGTGGAAAGATCTATGCAACGGTCTTCAATTAAATGATAATAAAATGCTTTTCTTGAGCATAATACTCATAACACAGCAGCCTTAGTTAACTATATCCACCCGAAATAAACTTACGTTTCGTTTACTGTATTAAAATATTAGATAAAATTATATAACACAAGAATGTCAGAATAAATGACAGGAAGAAATAAATCTCACTTACCATTAGCACTTCTGATACAGAACTGATGCTAAGGATGAACATCGTGACACTCACTATTACCGGCGGACCTGTGAAAACAGAGAAAAAATGAGCAACATTTTTTGAGCAACTTAACAGAATATTGAAACATGCGAGAGATTTGGAGTATATTTTAGTACCAATATATTTGTTCCATGTAAAGAACGCTTTTGCTTTAAATACAGATTTGTACAGTTAATTGAGGAAAAAAATTCAAAATGAATAATTAATTACAAATGCATGAGTTTGGATATTATATATACATATAGTATACATCTAGTATAATATACTATGTATATATGTAATAGATATAGATAATTGCAGGTGCTTGCATACACTGGTGTGCAAAAATTAAGGACGAGACGGTTTTTTCAATATAACTTTGTACAAAAGCTTTCCAAATCAACACATTTAATACCGTAAGATCCCCAATACGTAAGGACATGAGTAATGTAAGCAACACTTACTAAAAGAGAAATCAGAGGGATAAAAAGAAGCTTTATTGAAAAAGTAGCATGGAGCGCAATGCGACTGAAGGCCGAAACATCCCTGTGATGGGTGTCCGGCAAGAAACATCCGGTCTTTAATAGGGGACATGATCTCCCCCTGACTGCTAGGCAGGTTTCACAGCGTCTGCCCTTGCTGAGAATGAGGGTTGTCAATGAGTTCTTGAGGCATTGCTGATCATTCTTCTTGCAGCGCCAATCGAAACTCTGGAATCGTTACTGGTGGTAAGGTACGAGCTGCCAAGCGTCTGCCTAGAAAATCCCATGCATGCTCGATGGAATTGAGATCAGGAGATGGTGCCGGCCAATCCATACGTTCAATATCCTCACTCTCTAAGAGCTGTTCGGCATGACATGGTGCATTGTTGTCCATGAGAAGGAACTGCGGATCCATAGAGCCTCTAAAAAGACGGACATATGGAAGAAGAATCTCGTTACAATAACGGGTCCCGTTGACTGAACCTGCGTCGAAGATGTGAAGGTCTGTACGACTACCAAGCATGATGCCTCTCCAAACGAGAACACCGCCACCTCCATACCTGTCCCTTTCAATGATGTTCGAGGGATGATTGCGGCTTCCCCGCTCTCTCCAGATGAGTATGCGATGAGAATCGCTACTCAGACTGAATCTGCTCTCATCTGTAAAGAGTACTCGTCCCCATTCATTGTCTCTCCAATTCCGGTGTTCCCGGCACCACAGAGAACGCCTTCTCCGATGGGCAGGCGTTAGAGGTACACACCGTACAGGGCGTCGTGCAAACAGACCACCACCGTGCAGTCATTTGGCCATGGTAAAACGCGATATCGGTCGTCCAGTCGTCTGTGTCGTGTGTCAAGCGATTTCTCCCGCTGTCTGCCGCCTGTTTCTTCTGGCCTGTCATACAATATACCGGTCATCTGCGGGTGTGGTTCCTCGTGGACGACCACTACTAAACCCACGGATAGCTGTTCCTGTAGTTTGAAATTGTCTCCAAAGTCGTGAAACGATGCTGTGAGCAATTCTGAACTGTGCAGCCACACTTGTCACACTGCGGCCTTCCTCCAGTTTCCCAATAATTCGACCTCGGGTAAAAGCATCCAGATGTTGTCTAACAGATTGATTATTCGCCATTTCTCGCTGAGGCAGCAACTCGGTGTGATTTTAACTGCATACGGCGTGCAATCTCTTTGCTAGAGATACTGATCTTACACCGACAACATGCTTTATACTACTCAGACACTCCCACATTACGTCTACCTGCATATCTGCGCATGTGCTACCGTACATCACCTTACTTAATCTCCTGATTGTTCTTTCTGTCCGCTCTGCCTCTTCGTTCAGCTGATATGCTAATTTTTCGACTTCGTCCTTAATTTTTGCACATCAGTGTATATTAAATCAAACAAACATTTTTCAAATCTCTGTCTTTTTTTTTACAAAAAATTAACAGAAAAGTTTTTAAGCCTAACCTATCAGTCTTCCTAATCAAATGAATGCTCCTGTGAACTGAAGGTACTAGGTTTGAAATTTCGGTGACAAAGAAAGCAGTGGAGGGAACGAGAATCAGTTGGTTTTCAAATTCGATTACTGCTCATTCGATCAACATGCTTTTTAAATAGATGCATGTTTCTTTTTGTTATCACTAAAGGACGCAACTTAAACAAAGAAATGCAAGGTTTTAATTCCTTATTAATATTAGCTTATAGTATTCCAATCTCCAAAGCAAGGAATAATGTCATTTATGCAATATTGTTCATTCAAAAAGCAAAAATATCAAAGTGTTCGGTTATATACCCGTTACATAACTTCTGATCATAATAAACCTACGCTAAAATATCAAGGACGAGAATGTTGCTTAGAATGCACAAATAACAATACTGAATTATAACTTCTAGAAAATTCTCTGAATATGATTAACGACTGAAAGTCCAAAGTTATCAAAGATTATTTTAACTGTTTTCATATTTATACCAATGAAAATGAGTTAGAAACATGTAACTAAAGTTTCCCAATGTATTACCTCTGAGCAGAAATGTGCTTCTGATAGTTCTTTATAGATAGAGCATATTACAATAACAAAAATAAACAAAGCATATTACAATATAAAGAAAATTCACTGATAAACATGACCCATTATATTTACAAAATATAAGATAAAAGTAATATTTTTAAATGTTGTTCTGAAAACAATGATGCAAAATCAATCCATCTGAAGATGCAGTTTTTGGCTAGGAGGTGGAGTTTGCAGAAGATGCCTTCTAATTTTGAATGGAAATCGAAAATGAAGTAATACTTAAAATGTTAACATCACTAACTTCCTAAATAAAGTTTATGTAGTTATACATTTTTTTTAATGATTTTGTCACTCATTCCTTTCAAGGGTTTCAGGTTTTTAACGTAATTAAACAGGGCTACATTCTTGTCTTTTCTTTATTCTTTCGGTAAAGTCTTGCCTTGAAACTCGATGTTAAATTTTATTTCCTTCTTGTTTAAAAAAATGGCAATTGTCAGATATGGAATGACATCAGATTCAGTTTCGAGTGATATAAACAAAACAAAGCATAATTTGGAAATATCATAAATTGCAGAATAGATTTATGAAAATATTTCAACTGAAATACATCGCATCCTCTGAACACATGCTTCCTTCCCACAGAACCTTAACAGTGTATTTTCCTCTTCCAGTTTCGTCTTGAAATATATAATTTAGTCGTGTGAATAAGATCAACCTCCTTTCAGGCACCACATACATGTATGATCATAAATCTTCTCGGTGTATGAACTTGTCTTTTGACTGCCATGAAAAGTTGGTTCTGCTTTATTTTGTGACGCCCTAAATCTCGTATTCGCAACTTAATGATAGGCCTTTGAAGAAGTCTTCATAAAAAGTCCGTTTTACTTTCGGAACTCCTAACATGTGTGTTATTATTCCTAACATGTATGTTATGGAATTTTGATACTTGGAATATATAAGGTAAAAATATATAAGCATTCCATTTAATATCATGAAATAAGCTCTTTTTCTGGCAAAGATGCATTTTTTCTAGTTAAACTTGCATTAAAAAGAAATAAGATATAGCCTATTCTATAAAAAAGGCGTTGTAATTTTAAATGCGAATATCAGGGCCTTCGATATGTTAATTCCGACTATAATATTTACCTTTCAAAATTTAGATAGCGCTAAAATTTTTAATAGGGTTTCTTAATCTCAGCTAGAAAGCAATTAAATTTTTCAATTTTGTATGGTCAGGTGCATGTTCTACGCATAAATGAAATTAAACTAAAAAACGGGCATAAAACTAGTTTTGTTATTTCTATTTTCAATTTATTGTACTTTATTTCTACTAAACCTGCAACAGGTTTATACTCACATGAATAAAATGATATTAGTTTGAAGTGGGTAAAAAAAGGGAGATTTTAAATCTATTTGTTACCACTTGCAATTCTCTAAATGCTAACACTTACATGCTAACATAACTTGCAATTCTCTAAATGCTAACACTTACATGCTAACATAACTTGCAATTCTCTAAATGTTAAATTAACTAATTTTTAATATGACTGTACTTTTTAGTTATGATTAAATACTAAAGCAGTAGTTTTTAAACATTGATGAAGAGCATATTAGTAATTTATGTAACAGTTATTCACAATTTTGAATTTGTAATCTCATGAAAATGTTTTACTTAAAATCACGTATTAATTTTGTATGCAGAATACAAACTGTAGTATTATTTACAAATATAAAACAACATTTTATATGCGCAATAAAACGAGTTTCCTAATGCAAATTATCTAAATAAATATGAAAAAAAAAAAAAAAAAAAAAAAAAAAAAAAAAAAACTAAGAGTAAAATAAGAGAGAAAACAGTATTAAAATCTCAACTATGGTATTTCAATTTACGTTTATTTCTATGAATGCCACAGTTTCACATTTAGGTAAAGATAATTCATACGGATGCAAAATATAGATGGCAGATTATTATTGCCGCAAGTTGGAAATTACAAAAGACGATTATGAACGAACTGTAACATAAGTTTACAAACTATTATTCAAATAGCGTGCATTTTGATTCTTTGATAAACGGAAACCTTTACATATGCAGATAAAACATTCACAGCACCCCAAATGGAGATCCACCAAACAATAAAATCATGACGTACGCATTCCCTATATCAGGTCTTTCAATCCATTATACGTCCAGATGCGCAATATCACGCTATACAAAGACAGGTTTTATTCACTTTCTGTACTTCCACAGACTTTAACTATCAGGTAGGTAGGTCCTGTACGACATCAATCGCTACGTTATTGTCTCACTTTATTACCACATACACCGGTTGTAAAATACCAGTTCGGTAATAAAATTTCGGATTAAATCCTGTTTCACAAGATCTATATGTTATCTGGTTAATTCACTCGCATCTCTAATTCACAATTAAAGTTATTTTATTAAGTACTAGCTAGGTAGGTAACGCTTGTCTTCTGGTAACAACTTCAGGCGTATTTTTCAGTCATTGATTGCAATGATTTCCTAACATTAATAAGCTGTTGATCTGATGA